ATGGCGTCAGAATGGTTTATCCCTGAATCTGAAGGGACGTGTGTATCAAGCTACAGTACGGGCTGTTTTGTTGTATGGCTGTGAGACTTGGCCTATTCGAGCAGCGGAACTGAGACGTCTTCAGGTGTTCGACAATCGTTGTCTCAGAACCATAGCTCGTGTGGGTTGGTGTCGGCGAATCCGTAACGAGGACACTACAAGATATGGCTGCCAACCGATGTCAGTGGCGTTCTTGTTGTCAGTTTCTATTCAGATTGCCTGAGTGAAAGTTTGGGGGTGTAGGCACCTCGGGATGATTGTGTTAAGCTAGCACTAAGTCCCTCCCCCGTCCACTTTTACTCTTTTCTTTACAATAAGGCTTTCAAATAAGTCATGGTTGTACGGCAGTGAAGCATCGGTGTCACTGACTGATGTCATGCTGTCGATAATGATGATGATGAGGCGTTTTCAGCCTTGGGGCTGAGTTTAACTCCCACACCGTAGGTACCACTAGCCATGGGGGTCAGGAACACCGGGTGCCCGATAGTGAAATGTGGAACATCTGAGCTCGTTCTAAGCGGCCTGAAAAGCACAACCGAATCGGGGTCTAGTATACGTGTTTTGGGGACACAACATACATCGATGCAGAGGGAAATCAAGGGATGCCTGTTGCCCAGTTTGGCACGGAGTACGGACATTAAGGGCTGCAAAGTGGATCAGATCTTCTGAGGTTAGTAGGTGATTGTTTTGGGTTGAGACACGGAACAATGGCTAGGGGATTGGCAGATGGGTTGATTGCACTGCACTGCACGATGGGATGGGAGAAAATAAGGAAGAAGACCAGTGAGCGAATAGCTACAAGGGCAAATGATACTTTCGGTTGCCCAGGCCGAAAAAGGGGGTGGGGAGCCCTTGAGTCTGACCCACAAGGCAGTGAAGGGACCGTGCCCCTAGCCTCTGACCGCGAGACAGCGGTTGTTAGGTTTTTTCTTGGGGGACCCTTCCCTGAGCCAATGACCCAATAGTCTGGCCAACTTGACTGTAGAAGGCCGGCCTGGCCCGAGGGTGCAGGGAGTAGGGCATTATTGTCTCATTCCCGATGCGGCGATACACAGCAGGTGCCTTCTGAGCAGCACCGGGCTCTCTGGTTTTAAAAGTATCTCGACCGTATTGAATAATGCGCCGGCGATCATGGTCAACCGTTGGGCGACCGGAGTGTGCGGTTTTTGGGGCCGACCTTCTATAACCCGTCCTTCCTCGGGGGAAGGCAGAATCTCTGCTTCCATAAATATGGACATGCTAGTCGCCTGGGGAAATCGCCTTGCTGCCTTCACACTCCTATCGCAGATGACAGTACGACTTTACCCCCAGACCGCCTCGTAATATGATTACTCGCAGTACGGGGACTCGCTGTTCTTCATCGGGCTACTCCCCATTGGCCTTCCTACCATGGTTGGAACTGAGTTCCAGCCAGTATAGCCCGCAGGATCATTGCAGCACGGAAGCCCGACCACCACAACAAGGTGACAGCCTTAGGTCAGGCGACGCCCAGTCTATCTGACCGCCTTCAGTGTCTGCACTCTGAAGCAAGTAGGTCAAAAGCTGCTCTTACTGGCTTACTCTTGGCTCTTACTCGCTTGGCATTGATGTGTGCTGTCTCAAAAACAAGAGTTCAAGATGCAAGCAAAATGGTTGAGCTAACCGCCCAATTCTTCTCCACTCGCTTCAAGCTGTACAACTCTGGCGATCCAGAGGCTGGTGCGGCAGGATGTGGAGAGGTTGGTATCTTCCCAAGTCACCCGGCGGAAGGATCCTTGCTTGACTTGCACGGTTCGCCCGGCAACTTCACAGGGAGGAAGTTGACCGATGTCTGTTTGTCAGTTTGTTTCAACTGAATGTAGCTCTGACACGATTCAAGGCAAGTTTTATGACGCCCTGGATGTCCTGTTGAGGTGAGCTAAAAGGTCAGATGTCGTTGTGGTTGCCGGAGATCTGAATGCACAATTAAGCAGGCTCAGCGCATCTGGGACTCAATCAGATGGTGGGAGATTTCTTCAGCTGTGTGTTGATCACAGGCTGTTTTTTGCAGTACTATCTGCCGAAATAGACCAATTCGTCTGGCCACTTGGTGTCCTCCAACGGCGTACCGGCCCTGAACTCAAGTCGATCACATTGCCATCAGTTAACAATGGCGAGGTTCAATAACTGGCAGCCGGTCGTTTTTGCATTACCACGGCATCAGATCCAAGAAGAGCTATGTCATCTGCGTACTCGATATCTGTGAGCGGACGCCCCGGGAACATTTCGACCCCACAGGCATTAGACGCTGATATTGAGTCTTCCGTAATTGTATCAGTGACCAAGATGAAGTGGAAAGGTGAAGGAGGACAGTCTTGTCTGACACCACTTGATGTGGTAAGCTCAGGTGATAGCTCCCCATAGACCTCACACGGCCGCAGGAGTTGGTGTACAACGCCTTGAGAAAGGTCAAGAACTTATGGACACTGTCACAGTGCCTGACGGTCCACAGAGTCAGGCAGCTTTCGGATCAAGGAGCACAACTATTGTTAGTTTTGGAAGCACTGTCGCGGTTCCAGAATCTGTCGGAGGTGAAGATGTTATCGATTCATCCTGTTGCAGGACGGAACCTAGCTTGTTTTTCATGGATTTGTCTCCGTCTATGTTCAGTCGACCGTCGAAGGATAAGATCCCAGGGCCTTCGACGCCACAGCTGATGCTGAGTTGGTTTTCACACAGCGTCCGCGTACCATTTTTGAAGGCAGGAATAACTGTCGACATGCTCCATCCTGCAGACACCTCTTCGTTCCATATAGCACCAATTACGGCAGTGAAGCATCAGTGTTGAACTCTGGTGTCATGCTGTCAATGACGATGACGATATAGCACCAATAAGCTTGGTCGGGGCGAGATGGCTCAGTGGTTAAAGCGCGAACTTACTGACCGGAAGGCTCGTGGTTCGAAGCCGGCCTCCGCCTCTCGACTTCCTCTGTCTAGGCTTGGGCAACCTGCTAGTATCCCAGCCCTCATGCTTCCTTCGGGTGGCATGGCAGCTAGGCACCGGAAGAGTGCTACAGCTGAACGCTTTGAACACCCACGACGGCATATCCTACCACAGTGGCCTCCGCATCACCAGAGTTGCGCAACCGGAACCTGTAAGAGACAGGGGAAGTCAGTTCAGTTACAATACTTGCGTCCTATATCCTTGTTTCTTACACACAACATACATCAATGCAGAGGGAATCTAGGCACGAGCAAGAGCCACCTGTTGTCCTGCTTGTTTCAGTGTGCGAACATTAAAAGGGTCTAAGTTTACTGGGTTCCGGGGTTTGAAAACAGATTTTATAGTGTTCAGGGTTTTTAATGAAGTCGGACGTACAGAAGCTGCGGCTGAGCGTGATGGAGGGAGCAGCTGTTAGGTGATTAGAAGCTAGGGCAGTCGGAAGGACTTGAGTTGGGGGCCTATGGGGAGGACTCAGTAAATAAAGAGCTGTAAGGTCTAGCGATACTTAGAAGTAGCTCAGGTGGAAGAAGGTGTAGCCTACCTGAAACATTTGACTCTAAAGCCTGACCCGCGGGACAGTATATGGATGTATGTTTTGTCCCCTAGTCCGTGACTCAGTTCTGAAATAGCTTCCATGCATTCTTATCCGACCTGGCCTCTTACTTTCTGGGTTAACCACGTCTCTCTGTGCAGAGCCCTCGTGGCTCCTTTGGACGGCATGCGAGCTAAGCACCTGAAGAGAGGTGCACCTGGACGATTATTATTATACTATTACCAGGGCCTCTGTTCAGTGAATCTTGCCAGCATACAATACACTTCAGTTGGCGATTGAAGCGTTCCACGTACCGTTCGCCTGCGAATGCAACTGGTGCTCCTAGCTTTTTGGCTTCCCAATGTCCGAAAGATGTCGACAAGTGATCACTCAAATTGTGATCTACTGTCCCTAGTGACGGTCGTTGGGGAGACCATTTCAATGGACCGAGCAAACGAAGTTTCCTCGAAAAATCGGTCTATCGAAAAGATATTTCCCCATAAAGTGCTCTACGTTCAAACTGTTTTACCATTTACTTCCTCTCCTTCATTTCAGGATTCATCATGAACAACGACGATGTCATCTGGCAGATTATCAATAGAGCGTTCTGCTCTTTCGTGGTCAAAACAAAGACGGGAAAATTTTGCCGCAACGATAACAACGTAACTGGACTTTGTAACCGACATTCGTGTCCACTGGCAAATTCGCAGTATGCCACGGTCAAAGAAAAAGATGGGATCATTTACTTATTCTTAAAGGAGCCCGAACGCGTTCCCTATCCTGGAAAACAGTGGGAACGCGTCAAGCTCTCGCGCAACAAGAAACAGGCATTGGAGCAGATAAATAGGCATATGATCTATTGGGATAAGTGGATAATAAGTCGCGTAAAACAGCGCTTTTTCCGCATACGCGATAACTTAAAAAACATGCGTCGTCTTGCCTTATCACGTCAGAAGAAATTAGAGCCAGTCAACCGTAAGTTGGAGCGAAGAGAAGCGCGACGCGAAAAGAAGGCCCTGCGAGTTGCTCGAGTAGAGCGGACGGTGGAACAGAAACTTTTGGAACGCTTAAGAGCCTCTACCTCGTCGAAGGAGATTTACAACATTGACCAGTCTGCATTTGAAAAGGCCCTTGAAACAGAAGAAATAACAGATGATGAGTTTGAGGTTGAATCGGAGGAGGAAGAGATGATGGAAGACGATGAAGAGGTAGTGTATACTTCTGCTTCTGAGGAAGAGGAAGAGATTGAGGATTTGGTGCAAGAAGAGGAAGAGGAAGAAGAACAAGAGCCTGCTCTCGTACTAGCAGAGCCCATCAAGCGACGGAAAATCAAAATCCAGTATGAGAAAGGCGACTGATACTACACTCCGATAATTTGTGTTGCTTACATTGTACATACACAGCATGCTTGAACTGTATTTTCCTATATACATAGCGATGGGTCTTTATCCCTGGTGGTTAATTCCATAGGCGAAAACTTGTCGCACTGCCGTCGGATCGTCGGACTTCCCACAAGAATTGAAAACAGCCTGCTAAACCGAACAGAAGATATTATATACAGGCTCATCAGGCTGGCCCTTTCAAAGGGATGCTGTTTTTGGGATGCGGTTTTTCCATTTGTGAAGTTGAAGGTGAATGAGTTCAGCTTACCAACGCACTGGTGTACTGCTGTGACCGATGATCAGCAGACAGAACCTAGGTGTTAAGTTTTGTTGTTGAAGCTGGGTTTGCTTTGAAACTTAAGAACAGAGACAACTACTTGTCACTGTAACACGTGTTTCTGAGTTTTGAAAGCTTATTTACTAGGATATCCGCAGCATGTTGTAGACACGTGTTTCTGAGTTTTGAAAGCTTATTTACTAGGATATCCGCAGCATGTTGTAGTCGGTGTGCATGCATCCGTTCTTTGAGAGAGGAAATGACGACCGTACTCATAATTCGGTTCATTCTGGTTTGACAAACTAGAACTGTGTACAGTGGTTTGGGTCGCCGCAGCTTTTTGAAGCGGATAGTTTGGGGTAAATGAGGTGCAGAGACAAAGGCGGACATACATAATGGGGTAATGATTAAGAGCAGGAGAATAAGGACGACGGCGCAAGTGTTTGCTTGACAGTTTTGTTGGTAAGCACCTCCAACTATTGGTGTGATGTATTTCTGGTCCGTTATAGTGTCACCACTATTCTCAACTCAGCCGGTCAAGTATACGGAAGGCTGAGGAAAATTAAACTTGGACGCGGACCCCCACCAAAGTAGTTCTAACTATGGCCTAATTGATTCTAGGAAAAATGGCGTTAGGGTGCGAGAAAGCATGATAGTTAGCACTGATAACTCAAGTTATTTTGGTGGTAAGCGGGCTCGGACTTACTTACCACCGATGAGCATGTTGGTGTTTCCAAAATTTTTAACCTTTCAAATTTGGGAGCCAGTTGTACCTTCGAGTAAGCTCTTTAATCCAGGTATCAAAATTGGACACAATTGGTTGGATATCCCAGGGGTTACATAGGAAATCTGGGGTAGTTCTGATTATTTCGCCTAACAGGGACAAATTGGGATAGAGTTAGCTTAGTTTGAGGACATTTTCAATGCAGCCGTGTATAAACGTACGATAGGTACCTGCATTACAAGCAGATGTGACCGAACTGAATGGAATTAGCAACTCCCAAAAGGCACCTACTCTTAGAGGGCTTCGCTCACGATCGTCTTCGTCAGCTTTAGCACCTTTTTGGTGGCTAGCTGCCATGCCACACGCGGGCTGGGATACTGCCAGGTTTCCCAAGTCTAGACAGAGGAAGTCGAGAGGCAGTGATCGAGTTCGAACCACAGACTTTTCGGTCAGTAAATTCGCGCTCTAACCACTTGGTCCATCTCTCCCCTGCGATCGTTTCACTTAGTGCTACTATGCAATCGGGGCAAAATAATGCATGTTTATTGCTACTGTCCTAAGTTTAATTTTCTATTGATTAGATTTATCTTGAGCGACAGTCATTATCCGACAGTATGGCTTCAGCGGAATTGCTAGTTTATCAACTTCGACGGCAAAGATCGATCGACAGTTTCGCATCGTTGTGTTTCCACACACAGCCTTTACTTGGATCAGATCTTTTTTGTATGTTTTGAGGAACATTCCCTGTGACTAAAAGCAGCTGTTTTCAGTGTAAGCATTTTCCCTGAAGGCATGATTTCGCCACATTCTACGGAGGAATATGTTGCGTCATAACACTTGCAGAATGATATTGTCCTAAGTTCACGAGCTTATTAGCAGCATTTGAATTGTTCGCAAACCAGAGGTGGAGTATTCGATGAACATCTTTCGAGCACATTCGGACGACGTGATATTCACTCTGCACGGGGTTCCAAACTCGTTCTAGAATGATTTCCTGTCAGCATACCACAAATTTTTTTGGCAAAATAAGCTAGTTTTATATGGAATTATTCTGGGGACATACGATTCTTATACTGCGACGGCATATAGGTCTGTCTCGCTTGCCTGTTTACCGTTTAAGTAAGAACGTTCATGGTATTCTCCCTCTGTTCGAAGAATTGAACACGACGCATTGTTAGCGTGTTCTGTAGTGTGATTTCGGTCGAGCTCAGTGACAAGGTCGGGTTTGTACTGGAATCCTGCCTGTGACCGTACCAAAAGTCCAATGTATTCATGGTGGGACTGGATTATTATGTTGCTCCATTCTTCCCCAAGATGATCCAAAGCAACGATGTAATTTGAAACTACATGCATTGATGCGAATTGGGATGAATGTGCTCGATATAGAGACCAAACTACTGGGTTAATATGACCGAAATCTGTATAATGGAGACTGTTCACCATAGGAGGAAAAATCCTGACCGTACAGGCTTGTATTTCATCTGTACGAGGAGCGAGTGACGTTTAAATTTTTTGAGTCACGTGGGGGTACGTTGCTTTCGCAACCATCACTGGCTTGTAACTACTCTAATCCCCCTTATAACGTCTGTGGCTAACTTAATATGGTGAGGTGAACATCATAAAAGAGAGGTTCAACTGGTTTCCAAGTGCGTTTCCCGTCAAAATCAAGATGGTATGTAGATAAGGGTATAAGTCCAATTTGAGGTTTCGTTTCATCAACAAAGAAACCAGTCTCTAACGAAGGCGTCTAGCGAAGAAGAGCGATTGGTGTTCGCTACTGACGGACGCCGATACTCAGTGGCTTTCGTAAATTTTCTGCAACAAGCCGATAACTTCTCAGCGATAACTTATTTGGTTACTAAACGCTGACGTGTATATGGAGATATGAGTTACCGACGTGACAACGATGAGCCGACGTATAAAGTTGATTTATTCGTTTAGCTACTTAAATGCCGGGAGTAGGTCATGTACTGTAGCGGTCGCCTCGCAAACCATGGGGTTTCCCCGTTTTCACAAAGTACATTTTAGATTGCACCGCGTAACCCAACAACCTGTTAACCAACGACGGCGAAAAATCAAAAGTGAAGTATGAGTGCGCTCCACCGCAATCTATGCAATCAGAGTTCGACAAGTTGACAAGCTTATGCAATCTTGGGGTTGTTTCAAGATATCCAAAAATGGTAGGATCCTATGTCCAAGTTTTCTTCAGACGCTGAAAATTCCCGGGAAATTTCTGGTTTCATGACAGGTAAGTTACACAGACCAAAAAGTTTGGAAACCAATGAACACGCAGGCAAATGGGAAGGGTTGCTGTTTCAATCGTGCATGCATTTCACTATATCGCGAGAGCGTATTCCCCTGACCTGCTGTAGTATGCAGCACACGGAAATTACTCAAAA